TATGTGTATATATATATATATATATATATATGTGTATATACAATGTAATGTAATGTAATATAATCATTTTAGCTACCATAAAAATATCGACCCTGTTGTCTATATAATATATATATGACCCTGCACCACAAAACCAATCATAAGGGTCAAAATAGGACAATATTTGGCCGAGATGCAACTATTTGAAAATCTGAAATGAAAATCTGGTCAAAATATTGAGAAAATCGCCTTTAAAGTTGTCCAAATGAATTATATTATATTATATATCATTTCAAACACAACAGAATGAATAATTTTGTAATAATCCACGTCTTACTATGTCTAATTTCTTAGGTGTATTTCATGCATCCTGCATATACACAATTAAATAATATTTTTACACATTTTGTATATTGTTTGACATCATTATAGCTTGGAATTTGTAATAATAGCAATACAACGTTCTGCTTATGTCATATTTGCCATGATTGTTATGTTTTTTTTTCTCTCACATATTTAATCTCAAACGTGTTTTTGACACCAATGTTTCATTGGTAGCCAAGTACACTAGCTTTTGATAAACTTTATCTAGGAAAAAAATGGATCTGATCGCAATGACCCCACAAATGAGGGTCACAAAAATTAGTAATTCTACTCTGTTTAACTCATTAGATTAGATCATATTATATATATATATATATATATATATATATATATATATATGCATATCTCTTCTCGTTCTCAGATATGTTTTTTTGTATTTTACAAAAGCATGTCTGAATGCTCTATTGATTTATGTCAGAAGCTGAAGAACATGTGAAAGTTGACTCTTGCCTCTCACGTGGGTGTTCTCACCTTACGTAATGTGAATAGAAAAGGTGTGGGCTGCTCGGGGTGTTTGCGCAACACTACCTGCAAACACATGACAACAGATAAAAAATAATTAAAAAAATCAGTGTGCTTTCCAACTCTATTCCACTCAGGTATAGGAGTGGAATGCACCTAATATTAAAGATTAAACAGATTACAGCTAATAATTAAATGCAGTGTGATCTCTATTATGGTTGGTTTCAATTACATATAACAGTTTGAAGACAGGAACTTGCACATTATGACTCATGATGAGCTTTACATGATCATGTCAGTCTCGCTGATGGGTTAGTCATGATGTGAAAAATGAGACTAACAAGAAAGTGAGAGAAAACAAAAAGTGTGTGGCTGGATGGATTTACTTCATACTCTCGCCAGATCAGACAAAACCTCCCTTTTTAAGTAAATATATATTTTTTAATGCTTTCAAAATGCTTTTAATTAAATTATTGTTTCATTTTGATATCAGTCAGTGTGCATATCTTTAATTCATATTAAGGTTAAAACATACAAAAAGGTTAAAACCTACCTTAATGTTAAAACCTAAGTTAATATTAAATAGAAATACAATATTAATATTATTATTATTATTATTAATTTAATGTTTTACTTTATTTGCACGGGGGTGAGCAGCATGTCAAAGTGTGACATGCTTTAAACATGTTAAATTTCAGATTATTATATATTTATCATACATAGAAGTTTTAACATGTCAACTTCATAATAGAGCCAGTTTTTAAACAAACGGCTGAACTGAAGTTCTCAGAACAATACGAGTTTTCATTAATGTCAGGTTGGGGCAAGTTGTCACACTTGTTTTAAATATATTTTTTTAAAGTTATGCATTTATACAATTATAGCATTTGTTATTCAAAGCAATGGTTTGTACATGTATGTTGCTTGGCTTTATATGTAGGTATGTATCTATCTATCTATCTATCTATCTATCTATCTATATAATCTATCTATCTAATCTAGCATCTATCTATCTATCTATCTATCTATCTATCTATCTATCTATCTATCTATCTATCTATCTATATCATCTATCTATCTATCTATCTATCTATCTATCTATCTATCTATCTATCTATCTATCATTTTATTTGTAGAATATAAACTGGGGTTCAAATTAAAAAGACAACAAATGTAAATACTAATTTTGTTTATCCATAATACATGATCTGGTGACTGGCATCTAATGTGTTGGAATATATTTTCAATAATTTCTAAATAATTTTATTTAACTTAGTTTTATTTTACTTAATGACAGATTTCATTGTAACAGTTTACCCCAAATAGTCACAATGTGCCTCAATTGTTTAAATTACTGTATAAAATCCATATTTTAAACTAGATATGGTTTTAAACCAATGGCAACTTCTATCGTATAGTGTGACAACATACCCCACTATAGAGCAGCGTGTGTGCAGTTAACAGTATATTTTCCGTAAGCAATACTGTGTAGTCAAAACTTTAATGTGTGATTCAGAAATGCACGTTTAAATAAACCTCAGACACATTCACTACAGTAAAGTGTGTGACAACTTCCCTCGGTTTTTCAGAAGGTAACCTAACATATCTAATGGCCGAGCAGTCCTGCGCAAAGGATGCGTTCAGGTCTCGTCTCTCTCTCTCCTCTCCATATGGAGTCACGATAGCCCCTTTGACTGTACGGAGGGAGGAGCTCTAATCAAGTGAAGCTCCAGCACAAGCTCATTCTCTGTGCAGATCGAGAGGTTGGAGAATCTGTGCCTCCTCCACACCTTCAGTAAGAAACCGCGGGGGTCAGGCGCTCTCCGAAGCGACGCGGACAGCTGAATGTTAATTGCGGACTTTTATTCTCGGCCACTGGACTAATTGAACACTGAAACGCGGGCGCAAAATATCTTAACATCGCGACTGGAGACGTACATGAATAATAAAACAACCCACTGCGCGATGGAGGGCTGAGGGCAAGTTGGATCTGGACTTGTTCCGTGCGTCTTTTTTGCGCGGTGGTCTCTTCCGTGCCAAGAAAGCCTTTTGAGAAGTCCAGGCGTCCGGTTTGTGCTGCAAAACTGGGTGGTTTTGTTTGATCCACAAAGCACAGATAACTTGGCCAAGTGGAGCTACAAAGACTCCTGCGCTGCGTAATTTGGGTAAGAGTGGTTTACTAATGACACATCCAAAGTCAAAGCAGTGTGATTATTTTTGTGTTTTGTGTTTAGGGTGAATGCTAGGTGGTAGCCTGTATACAGCAGATGCGATGGATTTTGTATCATTAAACATTTGTCTTAGGACATACGGGTTGGCACGATGCCTAGACCGCAAAATGCACATCACTTGTTTCAGTTATTTTCTGCAGTTATTTTCTAATGCACCTCCTGTTACCATATATATATATATATATACGAACGCATTGCAAAAGTACAATAGACAGTGCTAATGTAACACTGACTCCTGTGATCTCAAGGACACCTTATAAGGTTGATTTCACTTATTCATTCCCTGCTAATTCAATCCATGTAAATGAAACTCAGGTGACTTCATTGTGATGTAGCCGTCTGCAGCACAGATGCTCGCCTTCAAAGTCACATTTACACACAGGCATAGACACACACTCACAAGTGCTCAGGCAGACATACCTATACACACAGAAGTCTTAATTTAATGTCTGGAGAGACAGAGTTTGCAGCACACTCTCTACAAGCCCACAAGAGATAGATGCACAGTCCACATTAAATCTGTTGTGATGTTTAGAGAGGTTTCAAACATAACATAATTGTTTAGTGCACATCTAAACTTTTGTTTTCTTTTAGTAAATGCAAGACATCGTGCAAATGCACAGACAGATAGGATTAATGTGAAGAATTAATGTATCTGAACTTTTTGTATATTAAACATACTTAACATTTAGGTATCACGTTTAGCTTAACTGGCAGAGCGTGACGCTAGCGACATCAAGGTCTTGGGTTTGATTCCCAGGGAACATACAGTGCATGCCTATTAAATGTAAATTAAAAGTGCATAAATGTATGTGCAAGGCTGATATTGAATGCATTCTCCTTTAAAAGAACTGAGTATGAATAACATTTCAACTTGATGATGACATATTTGTCTTTCTTTTTGAGGTCTATAGGAGACCACAGGTATTTAACATGAACAAATGCAATGCTTTTTCATATGCTAACATGTTCTTGTCTGACACACCTGCCAATTTGGATGTTTTATTGCAATTTTAAGTGTACGGTATGTTTTGCATGTGTCAAATAACTCCAAACTGAAACAAATTTGTGATCTAAAACTGTTAAAAATTATAGTGTTCTATAGTTGTTGATAGTTGTTAATGTTAATAGTTCTTAAAATAACCTTTTGTTTTTCTTAGTGTGAACTGTGAAGAATATTTCAATAATCTGAGGATCCTGTTTTTCCATTATAAATAACCTTTTGTGCAATAGAAATGTTCTATGGATGCTAAAGTTTCTTCATTTCAATAAGGAACCTTTAATTTTTAAGTATGACATTAACATTCGAAAACATTCGCATCTGCACTATAAGAGATGATTAAATCATCAATATTATCAGTCTAATGGCTTTTGACTATCTTAGAACTACACAAAAAATTAGCAAAATTTGAGATTTTACATGTGCAATTGTAAAATCAACCAAACATGAGGGTAAAACTGTATACTTGTATTAATAGTGAAGGCTAAACCCACTATGACACTTCATATTGAGTGGGCGAGTTTATTAGCTTCACGGGACTGTGGGCCTTTTCTTTTGCCTCTGTTCTTATATGTGGGTGTTGTGGCGTCTCCCTGGGGCGAGCACATCATTTCCTCCATAGTGCCACAGACACAATGAAGGGGCCATCTGCGCTAGCCCACTGATTTGCGCAGGGTAAAATGGAGCGTCACTGATTCGCTCATCCCTTTGCCCCAAGCCCATATACACTCTTTCTCTTCATCACTCCATCCCTCATTCCCCTGCGCTGGATGTTAAGGTCCCCCAGTGGCATGCTGCGGATGCAACCTGCAACAATCTGTTGGAGGCTGCTTCCCTTTATTGAGAGCTGTGAGCTTACTTGCTCAACACGGACACAAGCAACACTAGTGTGTCAAAACAAGCTAGGAATCTTGCATCGGATACTGGTACCTGGCTACATCTTATCCAAAGTGCTCAATTTAATCAAGTTACCTTTATTTATATAGCGCTTTATATAATACAGAGTGTTTCAATGCAGCTTCACAGTAATAAATAAGAAAATAACAATCACTGATGCAAACGTGATCAAATATGAGACACATTCTGCTAAGGCATCCCTACAGAAGACAGTAGTGTCATTATTCTCAATTCAGATCAGTGTGGATTCAGGTGAACTGAATCAACACTGAATTGAATTGAGCTGAATAATGACACTGAATTGAATCAACACTGTGTGAAGTTTATCAATTAGGAAATAACGGAGGTGTAAAGAGTACCTAAAAACCATACTTGAGTAAAAGTACAGATACCTTACAGTGAAAATTACTCCACTACACGTTACAAGTCACCCATTCCAAAACAACTTGAGTAAAAGTCTTAGAGTATCTGATTTTAACAGTACTTAAGTATTTTACTTATACTAAATATAGGGTCAAAGAGACACGCCAGTCAAAAACTGTAACGTTGTGGAGAAGCTGCAGAAAACCGGCAGAGTCAAGGATCTATGAAAGAATGCAATAGTGTTGTGATTCAGCTCAATATTGATTCAGTGTCAGAAGACAATATTGTCAGCTCAATTCAGTTCAATGCTGAGTCAGTTCATGCCGCTGATTCATTTGAACTGAATCAGTTCATTTTTTTTTGTTTCAGTTGAACTTAATCAACTCTGAACTGAATTGAGCTGAATAATGACACTGAACTGAATCCACACTGTGCAAAGTTCATGAATTACGAAACAAGTTCATCTCAGCCATAAGCAGTTCAACAGTAGACAGTACTGTCATTATTCAGCCTGAGTCAGTTCAATGTTGAATCATTTCAGTTCAGTAACTTTGTAAATTCATCAATTATGAAACAAGTTCAATTCAACTGTATGCAGCTCTACAGACGGCAATAATGCTGTTATTCAGCTTGAGTCAGTTGATTCAGTTTAGTTCAATAATAGTGTCGAAACTTCAGAATTAGTCGATAACGAAATAAAGTCAATTATAAAGCAGCCCTACAGAAGACATAGTGTTATTATTCAGCTCAATTCAGTTCAAGTTTGGTACCCATCATGACAGCAGCAAGGAACACAAACTCTGTCAGGTGACAGAAATGGAGGGGGAAAAAATACAACGCATTCAGACCACACTTTAATAAAACTACACTTGGTTAAAACTGTACCAAGTAATTTCATTGTAATGAGAACTAGATTTTTAGTGCTGCTCATCTGATCAAATGTTTCAAGTGCTGAGGGTGGTTGCAGGGACCTTGATTTGGTCGCTAAGTTTTTTTTTACTGCATTGCTCTGAGGTTGCTAAGGTGTACTGAATGGTTGCTAGGTGGTTGCTTACTTGCCAAAGTTTAAAGAGCCCTTCTTCATATCTCTTGAAATGGCTCAGGTCCTTCCCTCAATGTCAGTCTGGGATTTTTTTGCCAGTTTTATCGACCACCTGGTGAAAAGGATAAGTCTAATTGCTTCGAAAAAGTAGCGGCATCCAACTTGACTCCTTCATGTTTGTAACTGGTGCTGGATGAGTTATATGCCATATTTTAGAACTTAGAGTTTAATCAAACCCCTAACCCATTTATGAGCAATAGTAGTGATAATGCTTTCTATGCTACTAACAACTATTTTTAACTTTGTTTGGAAGAAATGCATCTGTAGTATCAAAGGCTCTTTGCTTTTTTAAGACAGTGTCTGTTGATGAAAACGACACTGAGAAAATTAAATCATCGATCTTCTTTCCCTGCATTGAGATAATGGTTGCCCTTGTAAATACATGTGGGTCTCTAGAGGATTCACATTGTGCAGTTCAGATTTATTTGAGTCTGGATAACATTGAAATCCTTTTTTTTTCTTGGCCAAATTGAGGAAAACACTGGAGGAAGGATCAACTGCAGATATACAGTCTTATCAATGCTTCTATCTGTGCAAGCTCTGTTTCACACATTGTTACATTTAGAAATGTATCGCATGGCAATTCATTATGCAACACATTATTAGTATTGCCACAAGGGACGCTGTAGTTTTGGTAACACTTTACATTAGGTTTTATTTGTTTACTGTATGGCTGCTATCTTCGCCAGGTCTCTCTTGTAAAGGAGATTTTAAATCTCAATAAGACTTCCTGGTTAAATAAAGATAAAATAAAATAAACAATAGTTAACTATATTTGTTAACATGAAATAACCATGCATACTAATTCTACAGCATGTTTAAGTAGTTGTTAGTTAATTTCATGGATTTTTTAAATTAAAAGTTATATTTGTTAAAATTAGCATTGCAAAAATCATTGGATTATGTTTCACAATAAAATATTATTTCAATCTTTCTACTGTTCAATTAAATGTATTACTTGTTTATTTGTAATTGTGAAATGTATACATAGTATAATTTAAATATTGCTTACAGATCATTTTAAATTAATCTATTAATGCTAACAATAGAGACCTTATTGTAAAGCATTACTGCATTTTCTCTTTAGAAATAGCCTTTTTTTCTTCTTTCAATAAACTAGTGTAACAGCAGAGCAAAAGTTTGAAGATAATCCTGCTAAGCAAGTTAGTTAAAGTAAACATGTTTATAGCTTCCAGAACAATATCACACGTTTAATGGCACACAATGTGCAAAATAATCTTCTGACCTAAGAATAAATCTAGCTTTAAATGCAATAAAAGAAAAACGGTTGAAAAGCTGTTAAAAGTGATGATTATTTTATTAAATGATTACATCTCTGTAATATCTTCTGCATTTATCTCATTAGCCGCAGTCGTTTTCATAAGCTTCAGGCAAAACTGAATTCACAGAGCTGAACGATGTGAACACTCACATGAGTCATCTAGAAATGCAGTGCTATATCATTTTAATGTCAATTCTGTGTCAGACCCACTGCTGTCATTTTTTCCACATCATTTGCTTTAGTGACCAAAGAAATTATATAAAGTTTTGAACAAGCCACGCATTTTCTTG